ATTGCTTAGCAGATCTTTTGAGTTTTTGGCCAGCAATTTGTAGAGAAGTATCCCATATCTAATACTATGATTTGTTCTTTAAGAATTTATGAGCTTCTGAGAGAAGTATGTTCTCCAGTAGATTTTCTTAACACTTTTCCAAACACTTTTGGTGTTGGTTATCCCTCTCCATCACAAACTCCCCTATCGCGCCCACTTAACCAGTACCAACTCCAGAATTAGGATTTTCCCATGACCAATTCCATGACATTTTTTTTCTATCACTCACCTTCCTCCCTGACATCTGACACAGGATTTAGAATATACGAATTAAAAAGAAAAGCTAAACAAGGACAACCTATAAAAGTAACTTCTGTTCACCAGATATAATTGTCATCCCAAGGCTTACTTACTCCTAGCTCTTTCTGAACTCTGGCTTTCTGGTATAACTCAGCTGTTCTGGCTTAAACTCCTCTCCAAGCTGACTGTTTCAATCCAACTCCTCTTGACTTTTTAATGACTTGCTCTGCTTGGCTTCAGACTAACTTGGGCGATGTGTGTTAAGCTTCTGGCTCCTTCCAATTCGCAGGCTCATTCTGTCTTCACATGTGTCTAGGTCGTTTACTCTGCAACCTGTCTCAGTAAAACTGCCTCACACATACCACACCCTTTTCTTCCTCTCTGGCTATTCTTTTAAGTCACTACACTTTCCTGTGCTGTTATCTTTAGAGTTGGGCATTGTCTTAATTACAGTTTTACTGCTGTGAATAGAAACTATGGCAAAGGCAACTCTTATAAACATGATATTTAATTGGAGCTGGCTTACACATTCAGAGGTTCAGTTCATTATCATCAAGGCAAGGTAGCATCCAGGCAGATGTGGGACTGGAGGAGCTAAGACAGACTGACTTCCAGGCAGCTAGAACAAGGGGATTAAAGCCCATGTCCACAGTCACATACCTACTCCAACAAGGCTACACCTCGTAATAGTGCCATTGTATATGGACAACTATATACAAACAATCACATTCAACTCTCTGGCCCCCATAAGCTTGTTCAAACACGTGAGTCTATGGGAGCCATACCTATCCATAGCATAATGAAAAATACATTTAGTCCAACTTCCAAAGCCCCCAGAGTCTACTGTAGTCTCAACAATGTTAAAAGTCCAAAGTTCAAGGTCTCCTCTGAGATTCATCCAATCATGTAACTGTAACCCCCAAAGCAAGACAGAAAACCAGCTGGGCGAATTCCAAACTCTGTATCTCCATGTCTGATGTCAAAGGAGTCTTCAGATCTCTAACTCCTTTTTCATCTTTATTGACTTCAAGGGAACTACTTTCTCCTAAGCCAGTTTCACTCCCTGTTAGCAGCTTTTCTCAGCAGATAGCCCATGGCTCTAATGTCTCGAGCATCTTAGGGTCTCCAAGGCAACTTCAACGTTACAGCTTCTTGTTTCAATGTCTGGGATCCACACAAGATCTTCTGGGTTTCTCCAAAGAATGTGTGTCACTTCTCCAGATCAGGTTGATCCACTCCATTGCCACTGGTGTTCTTGGTGATCATCCCATGGTGCTGGCATCTCCAATACACTGGGGTCTTCCACTGAAATTAGGTTTTATCAATAGCTTGTCATAGGCTCTCTTCCTGGTGCCAAGCATCAAATCCTTTGCATGACCTTTCAGTCATGGGCTGTCAGCTGTAACTGATATTGCATCGTTACCAATGGCTTTCCCTGTCCTCTCACAGTGCCAAGCCTCAGCTATTCTTCATGACCCCTTCATTCTTTCAAAACCAGTATCATCTTGGTTATTCTTAAACACTACCAAGTACAGCTGCAGAACAAGGTACAGCCTTGGCTATCTCTGGAACACAGCTTCTTTACGCTCGAAGAAAATCCTTCCCAGAAGATTTTACCTCAGTGATACTGGTCTCTTCTTAATGACCTGTAATTTCTTAGCTCCAACTAACCAGCATCAATTGTCCTAGTAGTCCCTTATTTTCTGGACTCTAAAGCCAGGGCTACATTGCTGAAGCTGCAAGTTCTGCTTCCTGTGGCTGGAACATGATCCCCTTATTATCTTACCAGCTTTCTGTTTTCCAACTCTCTCAATGCCTAAGCTTGGCTGTCCTGGACCTGCTCTATACATTGACCTTGAACTCAGATATCTGCATGGCTCTATTTCTTGAGATTAAAGGTGTGTACCATCATGCCTGGATTTAAGGTTTTATTCATTCAAAACTTGGTCTGTCCCAGGCTGCCCTTGAACTCAGAGAACTGCTCAGCTTTGTCTCCTGGGATTAAAGGTGTGTACTACCATGCCCGGATATAAACTTAGGTGGGTAGAATCTTGTCCCAAAATCCCACACCCTTAATCTATTATTCCCTATAACATAAGGTTCACCCCCATTCTACTTTCTGGTGTCTCTTATAGAGACTAGAACCATATATTTTATATTTTACCTTTCTTAGCTTGCTCCTTTTCATTGAAATGCTCTTCATAGCAGTGAACTTTAGGAACTACACAACAGAACTTAAACTAAGTTGTTTTGATGCTTCTTTTGCCAAAGTAATTAATCTAAATCTGTTCTCCTTAGCCTCAGGCTGACTCTTTAGACAATGGCAAAAACCAGCCATATTCTTCACTAAAATACCACAAAAACAGTCTTTATGCCACATATTGAAATTCTTCTCTACTGAAACCTCTTGGGCCAGGTCTGCACAGCTCAATTCACTCTTAGCAACAAAGTCTTTCATATTCCTGCCATGATAGTCCATTAAGCCCCACTTCTAAATCCAACGTCCTGAAATCCACATTCTTCCAAACAAAAGCATGGTCAGGCCTATCATAGCAATACCCCAGTCCTCCTACAAACTTCTGTCTTAGGGTTTTACTGTGAATAGAAACCATGACCAAGGCAACTCTTATAGACATGACATTTAATTGGAGCTGGCTTACAGGTTCAGAGGCTCAGTCCATTATCAAGGTGAGCACATGGCAGCATCCAGTCAGATGTGGGTTTAGAGGAACTGAGATTTCTCCTCTTATTCCAAAGGGAGCTATCAGAAGACTTGGTTCCAGGCCCATTCCACAGTGACACATCTGCTATAGCAAGGCTCTACCTCCTTATAGTGCCACTCCTTGGGCCAACCATATACAAACTATCACAGCTATATCTTATCTCTAACTCAACTGTCAGATCTGTCTCTGATTCATCACTTTGTTTGCCCCTCAATGAGACATCACTTTCAAACATGACTGCATCCTTCTATAAACAAACTGTATGTTCATTGTTGGGAGTTAAAGGTGTGTACTAAGGGTGTGTCTGTAATACAGCCAGAGGGATTAAAGGCTTGCCATTCCAGCTGGATCCCACAGACCTTTGTGTCTTTGGATGTGATCCTTTACCAGAGTAGCCACCTTGCAGGATGAAATTGCTCTATAAAAACCCAATTTTGAAAATGGACCAGGAAACTAAATCGAGTTCTAAAATAAATAAATCAAAATTTGAAAAAGTGATTAACTACCTTCAACATCAGGGAAGGTAATTTTATCCAGTAGTAAATAAAGATGAAATTTATAGAAATTAGATGAACCGAAAAATATACTGTTAAGGTAATCCAGGCCCAGGAGACAAATGCTGCATGCTATCTCTCATATGCAAATTTTACCTATAAATCCAGAGTGTTCTTAACTTGGAGTAAGTGCAGAAACAGAGGAGATAGACAGGTAGAATACAAGTTTTAAGCACAGACATCTAAAAATTGAAGCATTAAAAAGAATCATCATTTTTGGAAGAGTCACCAAAACTTCTGATAGAGATTGTATTGAATAATAAATTAGAAACGCTGTCATGTAGCCTAGCGTTGTCACGTAGCCTAGCGTTGTCACGTAGCCTAGCGTAAAGTAGACCACAGAGAACATTTGGAGAGTATATTTAACACCACAACATGTCAGCTCACTTTTAAGCCTTTGACATTTTAAGGCTCTCAAAAACTAACAAATAAACAAGCTCCAAAAACAAAATTGAGAAATGGAAAAGAACTGACACTTATTAAAATTTAAAAAGCAGATATATTATAGTGCTGTCCAAGATTCTTGACCATTGAAGAAAATTATAGATTATCTATAGTAATACCCAGGACAGAGCTAGGTAGGACTTTTTTGTAACTTTTTTCCATTTTGTTTCTCTTTAAGACATATACATTTGGCCGGACGGTGGTGGTGGTGGTGGCGCACGCCTTTAATCCCAGCACTTGGGAGACAGAGGCAGGCAGATTTCTGAGTTCAAGGCTAGCCTGGTCTACAGAGTGAGTTCCAGGATAGCTCGGGCTATACAGAGAAACCCTGTCTTGAAAAAAAACAAAAAAAAAACAAAAACAAACAAACAAAAAGACATGTACATTTGTCTTTTTAAATTTGCTTTCATTGTCTGTCTGATTTTCACTTACTCCTTTTTTCCATTTTTTTGAAATAAGATAATCATGTCTCATCATCCCAGTAGGCACTACTTCCCTTCCTTTAGAGATCAACTCACAGTCTGCTCCTCTTACTTCATCTAGAGGAATTCCGTTGATAATGCAACATTGTGTATTCATATACACTAAATCTTCAGCATCAGGACGATGAAATTTTGTACATTTCATAACATCATTATATGATACATATAGTTATTCAGTTGACCTCTGTCTAATGCACACTGACCCTCAGAATTGTGACTGTAACCTAGATGAGGGTGTTCCTAGTGTTCACATATATTCCCAGAATATGACCTAGAAAGACATTTTTTCTTTATACTTTATGTAAAAACCAACAAGATTTTGAAATTGAAAGTGACTGGATTGCAACATGACAACTTACACACTGTTAAATAATTAACATGCAGCGGTCAATCTGTGCATACTGGAGACTGAAGTTTGATCTTGTTATTAGTTCTCTCAAGGAATGGATTAAGGCAGCAGAGAATCATATTTTTTATCTAGATCCAGTGTATTACGTCTTTCTCTTTCAATTGCATAGGTTCTGCCAATCTTCTCTGTGTGCCATGCTCTTCCTGTCCTACCCTGGTCTACTCAGGTATGTTTACTCAGGGAAGGGGAAATTGCCCCTAATTTACTGATTGGCTAATAAAGATGACAAGAGCCAATCGTTGGGTGATAAAGGAGGAGGTGGGTCTTCCGGTCCAGTCCAAGAGAGGAAGCAGGGATGTGGGAGGAAGAAACTACCCTTTTTCACAGCGAGATGGAACGTGAGAGGAGGCATGATACAGACCAGGAACTGTTAGACCTTGTGGCAACCTCTGCCACCAGAAAATTTCCAACACAGAATAGTTGATGAGCTTAGTATGATATATTCCACGCCTAGTGTTTTCTATTCACAGGACTCAGGGGGGCAGAAGGGAAAGAACTTAGTTGGGGCAGAATTAGGCCAGGCTTTGGAACAGAAAGATTGGGCAAAGGAACGAGAACCAGGTAAACAAGCTGAGTGTGCGCTGGTGAGAGCATGCCCGCAGCTGGCCACAGGGTTTTGGGCTGGCAAGAGAGTGGTCTCGGAGCTCTGGAGAGGCAGAGCCAGCGTTTGCTCGAGAGGTGTTGGGTAGGAGAAACATGCAGTCTTGGTCTCGGTCTCCGGCTCTGCACTAGGCTATGAACAGAATGAGATCACCAATATCGGTGCATCAGTGTGGATAATTTTTTAAATCTACATGCTACAGGCATTTAATATCAACAACTGGTAATCGTGTGTATTCTCTGTAACTTCTCACACCTCACATTATTTAAAATGCATATTGCTTAGAACTTCATGAGAAAAAAGTTTGTGTCTAGTCTCCCATTATTTTCCTTTCTTTCTCTCCTCTTCCCTCTTGCTCCCTCAGTTCACTGTCCTAGGATAACAAGTAACTTCTAGACTCTAGATCTAGAGCCCAGATAGATAGATAGATAGATAGATAGATAGATAGATAGATAGATAGATAGATAG